ATATATATATATATAATGTATGTACATGTTCTGTATTTCGTTAAATTGTTTTAAACTTGTGTTTCCACAGAGAAGCATTACAAAGTTGATGAAACCCTGCTGCTGTCGGAGGAGGAAAAGCTCAAAACCCTCCGTGAGGAGGTTGAGCGCCTGTCAAAAGAGAATCAGACAGTAAGACATTTCCTTAGACACATCTTCCTGTGTATGCATTTATTTTTTTAAAATAACATACTTATGTTAAAATATATGGTGAGGGTCATCTAATCAAATCATGTTATTGTGTAAATGGGAACAATCTAGTGTCAAAATAACCTCATTTTAAAAGACACATTTATGGACAAAGATGTTGAAGCTTTTCTGTCTGGACTTTTTGTTGACTGAGTGCCTAACCACTACGTAATTTATTTTCTTTGGACAGGATCGTCTAATGACAAAGAAGATGGAGATGATGAAGCTGCAAGCAGACTCGAAGAATCTTCTGAGTTATCGAAGCAACATGGAGTCTTTTAAAGCCAAACTGGAGAACAAAGCCTCAGAACTAAAAGATGAACTGGGGACAACTGGTAAATACAGACAATAATGTCTTTCTAAAATTAAGTTTTCTGTTGTTTGAGTACATCCTGAGGGAGGTCTGATGTCTGGATCAGCCACCTGCTTTGTCCTTCATTACTAATTAAGTGCAAAGGAGTCCACAGCAGCTTTTACATTCCTTTAGTCTTTGGGCTGCAGTAAGACTGTAGCTGTAGATGTATTTTTTTCCAGTCAAACAGGTGAGGGAACTGAAAACACTTCTGTAATTTTTCAGTCAGTCTTTTGGAATCCCTCAAACACGAGAGGGGAAAACTTCAACATCTGCTGCAGAACCAAAAGTTCACTCCAGCTGATGTCGAGAGGATCAATGCAGAGAAAAGGGAACTTCAGCAGACCATCGCTGGTCTCACAAAGTCTCTCGAGGAAGCTGAACAGCACAAGTGGAATGAAGAAATTGCTTTGTCTAAAGGGAAAGAGAAGGTACTTTGTGGGAATTAAAACAGGCCAGTGCGTTATCAGCTTGTTAGTTAAAAATGTTCTATAATGTGTTGATAGTACACCTTTTAATATGGTGCACATAGTTCACATTATTATTTTTTCCTCTTAGTGCCACTTGTTTTTCCAATGTCTATTATTA